GAAGAGCAAAAAACCACGGAGAACCCCTCGGAAATGCCCTCGTAGATTTGGGAATATCCAGGTGGATTTCCCTGGAAAATCCCAGTTTTTTTTCCCTGTTTTCCAGCCTCGGGAAGGGCCCCAGCCTGGTGCTGCCGCTGATCCTGCCGGGATTCTATCCCGAGCTCTCCATGCTCTACATGCTCCAGCACCAGCGCCAGGACGAGCTCTACTGCCAGGGAATCGTGGAGCTCAGCCTCTTCCCGGATATCCAGCTCCTGGAATTCCTGGATGTGCAGAAGTAAGCGGGAATTTTCCATCCCCAGGGAAAATCCCGGGAGGGTTGAGTTGTTGTTGGATTCAGCATTGGTTTTTCCCAGTTTTTTTCACTGGAGTTTCTCCCAGAATTCCCACTTGGGAATGTTTGGTTGGAAGGATAACTGCTGTTATCCTCACTCATTTTTGTGTGGAAAATTCCCAACTTTTTTTCCTCTGAATCATCCGGAATTGATAAATATCTTGGAAAAGGAATGTTCATTCCAGGGTATTCCCTGTTAAAATATGGGAATACTGACTGAAAAGATGGGAAAAGTGGAGGCAGGTGTTTCCCTCATCCATTCCTGCTCCCGGATCCACCTCTGGAAGTGACGGGAAGCAGCTTGGGAATTTTCCTCCGGGATTTCAGGGGCACAGCAGATCCAGGGTCTCAATTGGATTCCTTCCAAAAGAAATGAGAGGAATTGGATCCAAAAGTGACGAAATTTCTCATGGATTGTCCCAGGATCATCCCTGAGGAACGCAAACTCTGATGGGATCTCCCAGGGAAGTGGATCCGTGGGATGGGATTCCCAGGGAAGTGGATCCATGGAATGGAGGGAAGTGGATCCATGGAGTGGGAGCTCCCAGGGAAGGGGATTCAAAGAATGGGATCTCTGAGGGAAGTGGATCCATGGGATGGAGGCTGCCAGGGAGGTGGATCCATGGGATGGAGGGAACTGGATCCATGGGCTGGAATTCCCAGGGAATTGGATCCATGGCATGGGAACTCCCAGGGAAGTGGATCCATGGGCTGGAATTCCCAGGGAATTGGATCCGTGGCATGGAGGCACCCAGGGAATTGGATCTATGGGATGGGATGTCCCAGGGAAGTGGATCCATGGGATGGAGGCACCAGGGAAGTGGATCCATGAAATGGAGAGAAGTGGATCCATGGGATGGATGGAAGTGGATCCATGGGATGGAGTTCTAATGGAAGTGGATCCATGGAATGGGATCTCCCAGGGAAGTGGATCCATGGGATGGGAACTCCCTGGGAGATGGATCCATGGGGATGGAGGCTTCCAGGGAAGTGGATCCATGGGATGGATGGAAGTGGATCCATGGAGTGGGAGCTGCCAGGGAAGTGGATCCATGGGATGGATGGAAGTGGATCCATGGAGTCGGAGCTGCCAGGGAAGTGGATCCATGGGACAGGAGCACTGATGGAAGTGGATCCATGGGATGGAGTTCTAATGGTAGTGGATCCATGGAATGGGAGCTGCCAGGGAAATGGATCCATGGAATGGAGCTCTGATGGAAATGGATCCATGGAATGGAGCTCTGATGGAAGTGGATCCATGGGCTGGAATTCCCAGGGAATTGGATCCATGGCATGGAGGCACCCAGGGAGGTGGATCCCTAAAATGG